CCTGATTTAGAAATGTATTATGCATTGCTTAAATGCTTGTGGATGCAACATTAAATACATATCAGCAATATTTTTTATGAACACTTACTGTCCACAGAAGTAGTTTACATGAGGAGAATAAAGGAAGTGTTATGGTTCAGTTTCATCTCCTTATGTGGTAAAATTGGCTTTAGAATTTTTGGAGGCACCAGAGTCATTTTTGTTCATTTCCTGGAGACTTCGTGTTTGCAAAATTGAGCATGATAGAAACAGTTAAAATTTGGACTCATATCCCCTAAGTAGGACTGGTGTGATTTCGTAAGAGGTAAATGTTGTGAAACATCTTGGTTCTCTTAGTTACAAAATAAAGGGATAAAAAGATAATGAATGGATGTGGACAAAAAAGGATTTGACGTATTAAGCATTCTTTATTTGATGCAACAAAACACAAACTTTGTCCAATTTACTCGATTACAGTAAGAAGGAAGTATGTATTGGAACAGATCAAAAGCTTTCTCATGGGGAGCATTTTTAATCAAAAAAAAAAGTGCCACTGTGCTTTGGCCAAAGCAAACTATGGGAAGCCCATCAAATCCCTTGACAGAACTGGAAGCCCACTGGGGCCACTCGGCTGGCATGCAGATGACCGCTGCTCCCAAAAAATCACTCCGAGTTGCCTGTCTGTCCATCAGATTAAGGAAAGAGTTCTGCTGGTTTCTTAAAGTGGGGTCGTATCACTTTCATGGTACAAGACTTTTCCCATTGGAGTGTGAGAAGAGAATGGGGGGGAAGAAAGGTTTAGATGTGCGTTCTTTGCTGGGTGAGATTTCTGCTTTGCTGCAGTCTGTGGTGTGGACTGAAGGAGGGGGCTGAAGGGCTACATGCACAGATGGTGATGGACCGCACTGTTCCAGCCTGGGAAAATGATTAATCAGTACTAGAGAGATCTATTCAAGTACCTAGTTCTTTAGCCTTCTGTTTCTTTGCTCATGAGCGCTATAAGAGAATGTTCTAAATGTTATGCTGACTCAGGATCCTGATGGTTTTCAGAGTAATTAAAACACTGTTTTCTAGCTAGATCTTCTTGTAAATGGCAGTGAAGAGAACAAATGTTCTGGCTATGATTCTGACTGCAAGATGCCTAAATATGGTTCAGAATTTAATGAAAGGAACTTGGGACAGTGATACTGAGGAGCGGTGAATGATAAGCAAGGGAAATAGTTAATGCACGTTTTCATCATCATCCTATTGCACTTGCTTGGTTGTGGGCAACTTTTATGCTTTCTGAATTTTGGTAGCTTGCCTTTCTGATCTTAATGATCTCTTAAAAGGAAGTCTGTAATGTCATAATCTTATTTTCAACTCAAATGAATAAAACGCTGCTTGAGGTGGTATTATTTACACCAGTGTAATTTATTGATAGAGTTGGAGCTCTTCAAGTTCCTGATGCAACCCTTTGTTTCCTCAGGTGCTGTAGCACACTGTTCTCAGTATGGGATGGTTTTTATTTCCTTCAGTGCTAGAGGAGGAAAATGTCTTCTAATGAGCAGAAGATTCCTTCCTTGTTTCTCTTCTTCGTTTCTTTAATGTTAGTTGTCCTTCTGCTGCTTGGCTTTTCCTCCTTGTCCTGCTCCAGTTCCTTACCCAGGTCTGCATTTTCCTACCCTGGTTTCTTCTTACACTTATTAAAATCTTTGAGGTTCTCTGCCTAAGCTAGAGTTCCCCCCCTCACCCTCTCCCCTCCACCCCTCCCCTTGGTTGTTTCTAATGCTTCTTGTAGGCAGCCTTTTTTTTTTTTTTTTTTTTTTTGGCCACTGAACTTTTTTTTTTCTTAATCACATCATGAAAGCTGCTGCTTCTGTATGTGCTCCCAGCGTTTCCCCAGCTGTTTCAACCAGCTTTTCCCTACATAGCTGTTAATCTTATTTTTGTTGCTCTCCTTCTCCTTCATTAAGTCATTCAGTCTATTTTCCTTCCATCCTACTTAGTTCTTTCCTACCAATCTACTGATGCCAATCCCATCTCCCACTTTATACGTGCTTTTTCCGGCCAGTTGTCCTGCCTCCCTTCTTCCATTTTTCCATCATGATCAGTTACTTTCCTGCCTGTATGCATTCATAGAATCATAGAATAGCCTGGGTTGAAAAGGACCACAAAGATCATCTACCCCAGGGGGTTTCAACCCCCTGCTCTGTGCAGGGTCACAAACCACCAGACCAGGCTGCCCAGACTCACATCCAGCCTGGCCTTGAATGCCTTCAGGGATGGGGCATCCACAACCTCCTTGGGCAACCTGTTCCAGTGCGTCACCACCCTCTGTGTGGACAAACTTCCTCCTAGTATCTGATATCTAACCTAAGCCTCTTCTGTCTCCCCATTCCCCCTTGTCCTATTACTATCCACCCTTGTAAACAGATTCCCCCTTTTCTCTTAGTCGATCTGTCACCCTTCTCTGTGTTTGTTTTTCTTCTTTGACCGCTGTGGATATCTGTGGTGAAATAAGTGCGGGTGCTGGAAAGATAAACTTGAAGTTTCTGTGGAACTTCTACCTCAATCCAGAAAGACCCGTATTTGCAGGGAAAGTATCCCTGAGCTGAAGAACACTCCTTTGTTCAGTGGAGATGGTTCTTGGTTGGTGCTGTTGTGTGGATGGCTGGAGCATGCATCTGAAATCCTCTGAGACTTTTGTGAAGAATGTTTACTCTCTATTTGTAAATATGTATGTTGGAAGCAGGGAGAAATACGTTACAAGCAGTTAGTTTCAGTGTGAACAGTTAAGTTGGTGAAGATGTCAGTCCTAGTCCTCTGTTGCTTAAAATAAAAAATTGTTGACAATACTGACAGTAATAGCTGCTCCCAGGCTCTGTTATGTTGGTGCTTAGTAACATCCATAGGTACTTCATGCTGGAGAAGTGACCCACTTCTGCAAGTGGTTGAAAGCCATAATGTTAATTTATAGGATGGGAAGGAATTGTCTAGATTATGTCTTAATGCGTGGTTTTATTAATGGTCTACATAAAGCAAAGTCAGTTGAGGTTGAATATCAAAATAATGAAGCAGTGTGTTGTAGGATGGTTTTTCCAATGACTTGGTAGAAATTTTGCTTTAAATATTTACATGTTGATCATACAGAAGGCCCAAATACCATGTAAGAATGACCCTCATTAATGGGAGGAAGAATGTGAAGCAAAATATTCCTTTAAGTTGTCTGTTCTGAGAAAGTGTTTGTTTGAGTTCTAAGAATGCAATGTATCGCGTAACTCAAATGGTATTCACAAAGCTACTGGAAATAGACTGCTGCTCTTCACTGTCATCCTTAAGTAGGACATATGGTACCTAAATACTCATGGAAATTGAAGTGCAAGGAGCAGAAACTTGGCTCTGATCCAAAGCCAGCTGAATCTGATTAAGAGCCTTCTTTTGGCTACCAAGGCTCTGGCTAAGACTTCTCTAAGCTATTATTGAGTCTCAGGTGTTCAGGCAGACTTTTTTGATTTGTCAGATCTTTGGGCTTTTCTGTGCTTCAGGTATGTCACACTGTGCATGAGTTTAGGAAAGGCTATAGGGCGTGTATGAACTGAAGTGTTACTTTCAGTTTATAGTTTTAGAGATGGTAACTGGGTAATACGTGACAACTTAACTAGTTAATCACCTGATTATGTATTGCTCTGTTTTTGTGGCTTGATGATATATTATGTTAATCAGACAAATGCTTAGAAATAACGTACCCAATTCCTATAAAAGATTCTTACAACTAAGAATAGAGACAAGAAAAAATGTCTTTGCTTTGCATAGTTTCCACTTCTTTGTTTGGCCAGCTCTAGTGCACGTCTTATCCACCCACTATTTTCAAATAGTGAAATAGAAGAGAGGAATGCTTTTCTTCAAGTAGAAACACAGAATCACCAAGGTTGGAAAGGTCCTCCATGATCATCCAGTCCAACTATCCACCTGTCACCAACATTTCCCACTAAATCATGTTCCTCAGTACAACATTTAAGCATTTCTTGTACACCTCCAGCAATGCTGACTCCACCACTTTCCTGGGCAGCCCATTCCAGCACCTGACTGCTCTTATGGAGAACAGGTTTTTCCTGATGTCCAACCTGAACCACCCTTTTGCTCTCGTCCTCATCATCACCAGTAGTTACACACAGCAGAAGAGGCCGACCCCCTCAGCACAACCTCCCTTCAGATCGTTGTAGAGAGCTATAAGGTCTCCCCTGAGCCTCCTCTTCTCCAGACTAAATAAACCCAGTTCCCTCAGCCACTCCCCATCGGACTTGTGTTCCAGACCCCTCACAGCTCTGTTGGCCATCTTTGAACATGCTTCAGGGCTTCGATGTCTTCCTTGCAGTGAGGCACCCAAAACTGAACACAGCACTCAAGGTGCAACCACACCAGTGCTCAGTGTGGAGGGAGGGTCACTTCCTTGCTCCTGGTGGCAACACTGGGAATAATGAAGGAAAAAAACCAGGAAATATCTGTAGAGTTGCAAGTACAGAGGTATTGGTCTGCCTATCTTGGATGATAGCTGTATCTTATTTGCATGGTTATCTTCTTTTTTAAAAATAGAATGTTTGCATCTCAATGTTTTTTTGGAGAGCAGTCCAAGCTGGTAGTTCTTTCACTTTAACTCCCCTTTGGCATGTTGCCCTACTTAATCTTGCAGCTTGGCTGAATTTTTTCATACATATACATAGTTATTAGCTGTCTGTGTGCTGTCTTCCACTTTCTTCAAGGTAAAGAGAGTTGGAAGGTCACCTTTTAGAGCTGGGTCAAGGTTTCATTCAAAGCAGTAGTAGAAATACAGGGCTTGTTTTCTCTTCTGGCTGAGCTAGATTGTTTAGATACTCGTCACCAGTAAAACAGTATGGAAAAAGGTTGAGGAATTCTTACCTAATGTTCTGTAAAACATAATAAAAGTCGATTCTAGCACTTGAGCATCAAAATGTTTGCATCAGTTTAAGGAGAAAAGTTGGAATGTGTTTTAATTCCTTTCTTATTTATTTGGCATGTAGGTTCCGGCAAGATGTGGGGTGACAGTCCGAGACAGCCTGAAGAAAGCTCTGATGATGAGAGGTCTTATTCCAGAATGCTGCGCTGTTTACAGAATACAGGATGGGTATGGTTTGTGTGTGGTGATTCTTGCTCTTAAAATTCCTTGGTGGAGTTATCCAGCACGGCCGCTTCTCTCCAACTTCATGGAAGCTGTTTTCAGAGTTGAGAATTATATGATACTTTGCACTAAAATAATTTGTACCTTACGAGCATGTCTGAAAAGAATGACAAACTCCTAGGAAATGATTTAATTCCTTCAAGGCTAGGTGTAATACAGTGCAATGTGGCAAAACTCCAATTTGTGCTAGCTGAACAAGTATAAAATAAGTTTTGTAAAGTTTTTTGTTTTCTATGACCTGGTCATATGTAACCTTAAATGAATGTAGAGTTTCCACGAAAAAATACACATTGAGTTCCCAAACCTAAAAAGTTAGTGGATTGTTTTACTGTGCAAAATTAGCAATCACTTCAGAACAGGTTGTTTCACACACACTTCATTTGATAAGAAAGGTATGTCACCCTGGAATTAGGTCAGCCACTACTGAATGTAGCTGGAAAAAGAAGTGGATTTCTTTTATGATCTTTGTCCAGGGAAGATATGCTTTGCTTGGTACATGCTGAACTTAGTGTCTTGTCTTTAAAATTTCCTGCAGTTAGAGAATGGGTAGTAAACTTCCAAAGACCTGCAGGGATTTGTGTGCTAATGACAGCCTTATTTATGCTTCAGAGAGAAGAAGCCAATTGGCTGGGACACTGACATTTCCTGGCTAACCGGAGAGGAGTTACATGTGGAGGTCTTGGAGAATGTGCCACTCACAACGCACAATTTTGTATGTACCATTTTTCAATGAAATGTTGACTTGAATTAAGTCAACTCAAAAACTTTTAAGTTTTTAATCACAATAGCTTGGGTTATGTAATTATAATTGTAATTGAAATAAATGCTGATAAAGGGTACTTGATATCCCTTAAAACTTTCAAACTGGGATGGAATATACCCTCTAAAATGTATAAATGTAGTGATTTTAAATCAGCACTGCATTGCAGAGCTGTAATAATAATCGACTATTTTTGTACTGCTGTATCTATAAAATGTATTCTGGGCTTCCCTGCTGACTCTGCAGCAGCAATTAACTAATGAACTAACTATTCCCAGAGCACTACTGACATCACCAGTGATGCTAGTGCGCAAATATGTTTTGACCTGATAAGGCACCGAGTAAATAGAAGGTGCTAGACAGAATCCATCTACACCATTCTGGCTCCATACAAAATACTGAAAATAATGTTTTTCACATTGATAAGACCGGCCTTTTATTTAAATAAAGAAGTGAGTAATCAAAACTCTATTTGCGCAAGCACCTTAAACTATTTTGCTCAAGCTAACTTGGCTAGCTAGATTAAACTCTAGAACATGTAATATCTCTGAATATCCTTCTAAAATCTAGATTATTACATGTATTAATATTTGTATGTACCATTATTCTATTGTATGTATGTATGTTATATATTGATTATGTATGTTATATGTTAAATACTGCTAAATTTGAAAATGAAACTAAAGTGGTTTTTTTTTTCCCCTGTATTTTCTCCTTCTTGCAATTTTAAATGTTTTCAACAAGAAACAGTAGCTACAAGCCATCTGTGTCTTTCCAGTGCTGTAGATGTTAGATAGAAATGTTATTTGGCTCCTGGAAAAGTTAGAGGATAATCTTTCAGCAGTTTTTGTTGCTACAGGTTGTTTCCAGTTAAATTCTGAACGTTTGTCTCTAGCATGATAATACAGTGTTTTTCTTCAGATTTGTTGCTGCTTTTCCTGGGGCTACTGACGTTTTCATTCCAAGAACATTTTAAATGCATGAAGATAATTTCAAAAAAGACAACTTTTTTGTTTTAACAGATAAAGTTTTAGTTTCACCATAAAAAAAAAAAAAAGTGTGTATTAGGCTTACAGAAGGATTTTGTTTAATTACTGTTATTTTTGACAACATAGGTACGAAAAACATTCTTCACGTTAGCGTTCTGCGACTTCTGTCGAAAGCTGCTTTTCCAGGGATTCCGATGCCAGACGTGTGGCTACAAATTTCACCAGCGCTGTAGTACAGAAGTGCCACTGATGTGTGTTAACTATGACCAACTCGAGTAAGTCATCGTATTTTGCTTTCATGTTGAGCCGTCGATTCAGCTGATAGCTCTCCGTGATTTCTTATGTTAAATCTGTAATTCAGGAAGTCAGAAGAGGTGCCTGAAAATCTATAGGAGCTCAGCTGTTCTTGGGAGACTGCTTAATTCCTATTCTGTCAGTGCTGGTTCAGACAACCAGGTCATATATGTAAATTTTTTTGCTGGACTATGAAATGTTTCCTTGAAGCGTGAATAGAGTGGCTGAGCATTTGACCGTTTGAGACAGACTTCTCATTGTTCGCAGATGTAATTCTTAATCAAAACTGGTTCTTTATTATGGGATGGCAAGGGCCTTGTTTAAATGTTTAGATACGGTTTTATTTTCTTCAATCTGAAAAAAAATGTTGAGAGATGTGAATTTAACTTGGTCACATCACAATTGAATATAAATCCATATGCAAGTTTGCCTAAATAAGAAGCATAAAAGAACATGCCCCGAACTTTCATGTGTTCTTGAATTGAATTATTGATTTGTGTAAGCCTTTGACAAAGTGTGAGCAGAGGCCAATAAATCTTTTCATTTAAAGAATCACTTAAAATGCTAGTTTTTCCCTCAAATGTGTATTTAATTTTTTGCTTATGTTGATATTTACAGCTGTTTCCTTGGGCACCTTCATAAGGTGTGATCAAGACTTACGGATAACCTAGTTTATCCATATTTAAGGTTTGGTTGGTTGTTTTGGGGGTTTGTTTTCTTTTTTTTTTTTTTGGCATTTGATTTTGACAATGCATCACTGCAAACATTCAAACTGGGACCTTTACTCAGTGTATAAGTTGCATGTTCTCAAGGAACCAGATATTTCAAGAAAGAGATTAAAAAATTACTTTCTGAAAATACATCCTTTGATCCTTTCTCTAGTAAATAATACTTATTAAATAACTTTCAATGTAAGGTGTAAGCATAGACTTCATTTTTAAAAATTAGGATTTAATCAGTGCTGGATTTAAAAAAAATTTTTCCAGTCTCTTGAGTGTTGTGGAATCTTCTGGGTTTTGCACAAGTTCGGTTGTTTTTGTTTTGTTTTTGCCTCACAGTTTGCTGTTTGTCTCCAAGTTCTTTGAACATCACCCCATATCGCAGGAGGAGACCACCTTAGGAGAGACCACCCCGGCATCAGGATCGTACCCCTCCGTGCCCCCATCAGATTCTGTTGGGTATGACCTTATTCCTGCTCTTTAATACCATAACATTTCAGTATTGTATGCTTAGAAACTTTCAAAATACTGCTCTGCGACCATCTCTACATTTCTTCTGTGATCTGGCTTGTCGTGCAAGTACGTCAACTTGTGCTTAACTTCAAAGAAGTGAATGTTTTCATTCACTTGAATGACATATATCAATATACAGACTGAAATTAAGTGCGTGTTTAAGTGTAGAATTGGGGCCTTACCTGTTAAAGGGAATTCTTTTCTATGGTAGCACAGACCTGGTCTAAACTGGAAAGATTTTATTCTTCAAATCAGTGCAAACTAAAACGCTGTCTTTATAAATTTGTTTAGTTTGTGTAATGAAATGAAAATTTATTTGCCTTGGAGTGACAAACCTCTGTTTCAGAATAAGCCACAGCACTACAACATTGATATGCATAGATGCCAAGTCAAGGTGCTTTTTAACATACACATAGCTTTAGTATTGTCCAGACCAGATGTCCTCCTATTTAGATGCTGGGATGTACCAAGAGTATCTGCTTGCAGATCCAGATTTTGTAAAATCAGACTTCTCGAGTTGATTACAGCATCCATCCCCTGTATTCCCAACAAAGATTCTGGCAGTTTTCTTTGTGGAAAGGTAATGGATCATGTTTAGATTGTGATCCTAGTAATTAAGAGATCATTGACAACTAACATTAGAAAGTGGAACAAATCTCCAGGAAAGATGAATTCAAGGATGTGTATCAAAGTCAAGAATCGTGATACAAATTTATTAAAGCACCAAAGATAAAAGCCTTCAGGAAAATGCTCCTAGGACATGTGGTACTCTGTGGAGATGAACTGAATTTGGCAGAGAAGCTATCTTGGAATGCTGTGCATTGTGCCTGACTAAAGCAGAAACACAGTTGGAAGCTGCACAAGCGCCTGAGGACTCCGATTGGAAGAAAAATTCCCTGAACAGCTGAGACTATTTTATGAAAGCTCAAATACGATACATCCCAGGAAATAGATTGACAGCGCTGCAGAAGGAACTTCATTTGGTAAGTAGAAAGAAAGACAATGTTCTTGTTTGTAATAAGTTGTGAAGTTTCAGAAAAATTTTGGAATTGCCTCTTCTGTGTAGTGAATATTGTTCTTATATACTGTAGGTTAGTACAGCAGATTGTGGGCAAGCCTGCTGAAACAGTCTTGTAAGCTAAGCATGCTTTGGCACTGTCATGATACATCTGAAATTAAAACCAAGCCAGAATTATTAATCTGTGATGCAGCTTGCTTGCACCAAATGTGTTAAACACGTGTGAAGACCAAAAGGGACTATACAGCACCAGTCCTAGTATTGTTGTATATAGTAAATTTTCCTGCTTTACAGTTGCCACTGCCCTCACAATTATGATTCTTACTGGTTCATGAGGACACAATGGGATGAATTATTTTAGTTTATACATGCAGTCTGTGGAGCAGGCTTAGTTTTGTGAAATGAAAACTGAAAGGAAAAACTGAAACAAATGATGGTTAATACCTTAAGGTTTTAAAAGTTTTTTGGTTTTTCATTTGTGAAGTTAAATAAACTTGCTGATTTAGATTATAGAGGTGTTTTGTTGTGTTTGCTTTAAGGTATTTTGTAGTTTTCTTTAAGATTAATGTATCAGTAAATAGTTGTGGCTGCAGGAGCTGTTAAAGGTTTCCAGCTCCCCACGTTTTTAGTTTCTTTCCTCTGCTCTACACTTCGTTTTTAAAACATAAAAAGGCATGCAGCATGCCTTCAAATTCTTTTGAAGATGGTTTATGATTATGAGTTGTTCAAAAAGTAGTGTGCGTGTTACAAAGGCATGCATTTTTCCCCAATCATTTGTATTGGCACTGTTTTCTTTCCAGAAGCACTCACACGCTGTTGTATGAGCATATAGCACTGTCTGTGTATTTCTCCAGTTATCTTTTTTTTTTTTTTTTTTTTTTTCCCTTCTTTAATAATACTTGTCTGCTTTTTTGGGATGTAATTGTGGAAAAACTAATTTCAATGATTATTTTTGACAGTAAATAAAAAATGCTGGCCTTCTCTACAAAATCACAGACATGGTTTTTGTTAAAGAGTACAATATGGGGCAGCAGCCGAAATGGAATCAAAAAGTCTGACATTTAAGGTTGTCTTTACTGAGAAGAGTGTAAATTAATAAAATTTTGTAGAGTTGGGCAATGGGACTGAAAATATGAAAAACTAGTGCTTTATTAACACTGTTACTAGTTTAATAACTGCTCCTTCAATTTCTCTGTTCTCCTCGTAGCATTTTGCATGGCACAGCCTACAGAGGAAGGGATGTTACTAATTCTTTGGTAAAAAGGAGGCGAACATCCTTCATCTTTAGCCTTGTGAAGGGATTCCAGCAGCAGGAAGGTGTCCAAAGAAAGGAAGAATTCGTGTTGCAAGACAAGCTCAAGAGCAAAGCGTGTTTGACATGCTGAGAAGTGGTCAAGGGGTCAAATGGAGAAGTTGCAAAGAGGAAGGGACATACAGGAAAAGAACGATGGACATGGTGCGAAAGCTGATAAATGTGCTGGAGAACTGTGCTGCACTTTGCTCACATGTAACATCTTAAATCAGTCCAGTCCTGTAGCCTTCCATTCCTCCAACTGTAAGCAATAGGCAGTTCTTGCGTATGTTCACCTGAAGATAAGAGAGCATATATAATCTTGCCTGCACATTTCTGAACCCTTTACAAAAATGTGTCCAGCCTCAAGATCAGGTCTTCTGTTCCATTTTTGTTCTTTCAGTTTGCACTATTGTGTTGTGCCCAAGCAGACAGTTATAATCTGGACTTAACTGGAAAGAGCTATTAAAGTGTAGGTGTCCCTAATGATAGCCATTTGTAATAAAACTGAAGTACATAAACTATATAATACATTGTATTCATTTTATTCATTGCACTATCATAAAGTTTCTACTGCATCTATGCTCGTAAAACATGAGCACTGAATTTGACTGAATCCAGTTCACTGGATCTTTTATATATATATTCATATATATATGAAAAGGATATATATGAAAAGGAGAGAGATTAGCTATTCAAAATATTCCAAAGTTGTCTTTTTCTACTTCTATCCATTCTCTCAGATGTTGTGAAGTTGGGCAAAACTCAGCAAACCCATGAGGCAGATATTATGGCAGGGAAAGTAACATGTAGAATGAGGGGGTGGGGGGCTGTATGATCAGACTTGAGTAGCACAGAGGCAGGCTGGACTTGATAAAAGCTTCTGCTTTGCTTGAGGTAGGATGCTGCTGGTAAGCAGTTGGCAGAGTCTTTGCTCCCTGATAAACAACATTTCATCATTAATGTTCTACATTTGAAGAAGGAAGAGGGGACTGCCTGGTGCACTGTTCTTGGAGGCTTGCCAGCTCCTGCCTTAAAGCAGGCTCTAACCTATGATTAAACACCTCTGCTTTCCTTTCTGTCTTCCAAATGTTCACTGATTATTCTGCCTCAACTGAAGATACTTAAATGTCTGGAAAAGCTTCTGAAAAGCCAACAAAACAAAGACGCGTTCTTAAGAGGTTGCACTTTAGTGTTACCATTTTGATCTGTTTTATTGTGCAAAACAATGGTTTTTGCCACCAGACCTTTTCTAAGCCACTCCATAAAACTGTTAGCAAACTTCCTGTGTTGTCAGATGTGGTATGCTGCCTTGATGAGCTGGAAAGGCTTGGCGTTAGAATCCTTAAACAACTCATCTTTGTTGTGCACAGCAAGTGGGGGAAACATGTTGATCTTCAACATTTTATTTGCAAGAGCACGGAGACCTGAGACCTGGCTTGAAGGACTAGTGACAGCTCTGTGGGTCCTCTCAATAGCCTCTTGTATATGAAGCAGTCAGAAGTTTTACAAAAACATTGCAAAGCTCTGATCTGGACTCAAAGACAAGTATGAATGCATACCATTGGGATAATCATATTTTACACCTACAAAGTGACATGCTTGAGAACAAGTTACCATGATATTAAGAAGTGCACTAATCCAAATGAAGCTTTGCCTGTTGAAGATCTGTCCCATCACTGTTGCTAGTGTAGCTGAAATATCATTCCAGATCATTACGTCCACGGGAACTGTTTGAAAATGGAAGTGCACAGTGCTTCTCATTAGCAAAAAGCAAAGCCTGTACTGTGATGTAAATGCAATGGTAGTCCCACGTGTACTTTGACTCGTAATAGCTTGGTAAGGATGCATCTACTGGGTGTCCTGTTCTAGTAGCAGTGCTGTTATTCCACAAGGGAAGTGGCATATGCACTATGACTGAAACAGTGTTAACGTGAATTTTCAGTTAGGGTCTTCGTCTAACTGCAGCAAAACAAAACTTCGAACAAAAATCTCTTTTGAGGAAAAATCTTTCCTGAGTAGACCAGCTCTTAAATACCTGGAAAGCAAGTTAAAGAAAATCAAGGGTAATTTGTATTAAAATTATCTTTCATATTCTTGAAGAGCGCTAGTTTGTAAGTTCTAAGATATAAGAGAGATGCTGTGTATAATAATACTGTACGAGTTTGTTATATCTAAAGTAGTGTATGTGGGCAATTCTGAGTTACCCTTGTTTTTACCAGTGGACCCAGTTTTGTGGGATAGCAAATCTGTGGACGTATTGACATTTGCTATCATTGACAAAGGGTGAAAAGCTGCACCTGTCTGTAATTAGTAGCCCCAGTTAGGTAATTCAGCCTTACTTTCGTCTACTGACAAAACCTCTTTGTTCTCTCTTGATAAAAAGGAAGGGAACAGTGTGCTTATCCCAAATCCATGTTATAAGGAAAAAGTACGTTCTGTTGTACTGCCAAGAAAGGTTATAATTTATTTTAAAAAAAGTTGAGATTTGACAGCTCCATTAGCTTGTTGCCTGGGAAGCTGAGACTCATTTGTTGCAGGAATGCCCACACTTAAGTAGCTGGAAGAAAGTATGGTACAACCTTTCTAATAAGTCAGAATATTGACCTTCTTATCTGTAGGTCTCTTCTAGCAAGGGAGTTGACTGCCAGCTGCTTCAAAGGCTGCAGGAGCAACAGAAACTCAGATCCTTGTATTTAAACTTCTCTGCTTCTCTAAGCTGTGGTCTTCTTACAGTGAACAGTACTTTGCAGAGCTGTGCTCTAGTTGTCTTTTTTGTTTTTTTTTTTTTTTCCCCAGTTTGTTTGCTGGCACTTAGTCCTTCAGCATAGCCTGCAGATTTAGTGTCGTAACTTGTCTGGAGCGGGCAGTGCCATCCTCTCATAAATTAAAATAGCCATTCCTTTTTGCTTTGTTGTCCCTTCCGTTCTCCTGCAGCAGTTAAGTTAGCCCATGTAAGCATGGGCTTATGATATCTAGGAGCATCACTGTATACCTTGTGATGATGCCTCTCCTGTGGCATTGAGGCAGATCAGGCACACAGGAGGAGGCTGCTGGTAATCACTCCTGAGCTTGTGGTCTCAGTAGGCCACCCTTGCTAGCAACCTTTTCTGTCTTTCTCTTCACTAGTTACCTTTTTAAAGCCATGTCCACGTTTAGCAAAAAATATTCTGCATTTTAGTGAATGTCCCAAAAATACTATACAACCAAAAATCCTGGTTGTATAGATAGCGTACGTAACCATGTTTTGATTCTTTTGTGTCTTTCCTCTTGGTAGCAGTAGAGCCAAAAAAGAGAGCTCTTTGTCAGTCTGTAGGTTTTTTCCTAAAGATCTGACCTGCCTCCAGGATTCCAAGAGTAGAAAAAGATATTCAATTTGTTTTTAAAACATGACCTGATGTAGCGTGCTATCTGTGTTAGCAGCGCGGTAGGCTTGGTGACCTGTGTCCAGAAACACAGGCATATTTGTGGATTCTTTTAGTAGATGACCATTTATGACTCAGAGGAAGATTTAATTGAACCAACATTTCTGAAATCGTGTGGTGTTTCTTTTTTTTTTTTTTTCCCTTGGCTAACTCACAATCACAGTAACTTCAATTATTTTTGTTCTAGTTGCGTGGCAGAGCTTAAACATTCTCTCATAGTCAACCGTAATGCAATGATCTGGTGTTTGTTGTTACGTGTTTTCCTTGGTTTCACTGTTTCAAACTCCTCAGGAGGTTTGGACAGGAAACTGCTGTCCTGTCAATGGCAGTTCTGGGCTGGCTGAGACGATTTTCATACTTTTCTGAAATCTCTGTGTGTTCCATCTGACATACTTGCCTTGACGTGAAAATATGGTATCTTGGAATATCAGCCACATCCTGTGCATGCATCTGCAGTGTCCTATCTCCTGATGTGAGTTCTGGTTGCATAATTTCCTTAAAAACATGTTTGGGAATTTTGAAAACTTCCTCTTCATCAGAAAAGTTTTACTCTGTTGACTTCTGAGCATCGTTCGGAAATACTGGGCTGTTGAAAATGCTTCCTCAGAAATCTGTCTAGTGGCAGTTTCAGTTGCTTCCCATCATCTTTGCAATAAATATATTCTTATGTGCTGTTAGGTAATTACTCTCTATTTTTTAATATAGTTTGGTTTTTTTGTTTTTTTTTTTTTTTAGAGCAAGACTGTATGCCTTACCAGTTCTTCCCTCTATCTCATTTCACAAACATAATCTATGTATTTTATTGCAAGGCTAACTACACTGTCACCTGAATTCATTGGCAAATGGTGATCAATTGTGATCTTGAGAGCGAGACCATTCTTGATAGTGAGACTGTAGGCTGGGAAGGAAAAAATGACAGGTACTAATAGTACTGATAGCACTGAGTTCTGAGATCAGTGCCAAACTATGTAAGATCTGTAATAGCAGATAGGTAATAGCATGTCTATTTTGGAGTAAACATTAGAGATGCTGTTGAAAATGTTAGTTGCCCTTGAAAATCTTTGGAGAGGCAGGGACTATTTACATACAGAAGACAGCACCGTGGCCTCTTGCTGCAGCAGGCTGCTCTATGGTTTATTTCTGAAACTTCTCCCTGTGGGCATTGCCTTTGTAGGCATGGTAACCCTTGAGTAGTTTAATAGCTGGGGGACTACTCTGTTAGGAGTTGCATTTTGTATGAATTCTAAAACCTCATTATCAACTATGCAATATATTTTAAGTATGTTTTTTTTCTGAAGGAGGTGACAGATTTCAACTTGTATCCATTGAATAGAATGATGGGACTTAACAGTGATTAACTTTGACTTGAGTAAGAGAGAAATGCCTATTTATTCTACTTTACCAAATTAGCAAGGTAACCAAATAAGTGATGTTCTGCCTTCATATGAATAACAACACAACAACAAAGAGAGTTTGTACATGTTTTGTCTGTTAATGTATATAGACTTGTATCCACATTCATGACTGATAGCAGTTGTGTTACTTCAGAAAACTTGTCTGTATAGTCTGAACACTTATCTTTGAAGTGAAATCTCTTTTGTTGCCTAACTGTAGCACTATAAATAATGTTGGGAATGTTTCACTATTCAAACTTATTTCCTACAAGCTGAGGTGAACAGGTGATATATTTATTTTTAATATCAATTATTCCTATTACGTTGGCCATAATATCATTTATTTATTAACTATTTAATCAGCTTCCTTTGTTGCATAGTAATCCCATCCATATGATTTTTATGACATAATTTGACTTTGATATTGGCGTGAGATGTTAAACATTTTTCTTTATCAAAAAGATGCCATTATAAAGATTGTATTGCATTAACTTTGAAGTGAAGAAACTTAGAGAGTCTCAATATCTGCAGCGCATGTTGAGCTATATTAATTGCTTCAGGTCAGGATTTAATATTACTAGTTAGATACGGTGTGTTAGGATTTGTTTTGGTTTTTAAACTCGGAACACTGTGCAGCCATGTAATCAAGTATTTTGTGCAGCAGAGAGTTGTTGCGATTGACCCTAGGGGAGCAGAGGCTGTTCATTATAAATTGTTTTTATGCAGGCCATTAGACCAGCTGTTTCTTATGTATGTGTTATTATAGTTGAAAAGGATTTACCACACCCACTATGCAGCATTTGAAGCCATTTGTAGACCTAAATCCTCTTTTTCCTTGACTTTGTTTCTCAGACCACCAATTCTCCCTAGTCCTTCTCCTTCAAAATCCATTCCAATCCCACAGCCCTTCCGACCAGCAGATGAAGACCATCGGAATCAGTTTGGGCAACGCGACCGATCCTCTTCAGCTCCCAATGTTCACATCAATACAATCGAGCCAGTCAATATTGATGTAAGTATTAACATTTTGGATCATGAACAGCAGATTTGGTGTTTCTCTTACGAATATCAAGGTGTTAAATATATCATGTGCACACACAAGTACTGTATTTCGAAGCTAATCCTTGGTCTGTCAGAACCTTTGTAGATTCCAAGAAAGAATTTTTTCTATTGAGGGCTATAGGAATACAAATATCTCAACAAGCAGAAGCTACCTTTATATAGGTATAGGCTGTAGTTCAGCCTTTAGCTTTCAAAAAAGCATTCTACCACAAACTACTGCTGTTCTCCATTTTATGATCAGTCTTAAGGCTCATACTGCTACCTGTAAAGCGTTAAGAATGTAAAGGCCAGCAACCATCCTTATGGACCATTGCATGCATTAAGTTAGTTTCTTGGCATGCGAGGTAGTTTTGTTTTTTGCTGTTTTTTTTTTTTTTTTTTTTTAAAGTTTGCTTTACAAGCAATATTTCTGGCGTTGAAGGACATTATTGGAGTTATCTGAGCTCAGATTTAGTGAGTGTTGGTTAGCATTCCATGAACCCAGTATATATTAATGTGAGTGTTCAGAAGCTCTTATGCTTAACATGTTATCCACATTTTTGGGATTTCTGAATGCTGAATTGTAATGCTTAAGAATAATAGTTGATAATAAACATAAGAGCAGCTTGCATCATTCAAAATTTGAATCATGAGGGCCTCTTTCTAATTTTGTTAATTTGTACAGCTTACATTTTTCCTTTGAATCCACTCTTTAGAAATCTGTCATTTGTCAGGTGAATGGTGTTGAAGTCTGTCTGGACACTGAGGCACAAAAATCTATATACGAGCTGAGTGAAAGGTGAAATGTTAGCTGTGTATTAAGAAAGGAGCTTACTGGACATTTGCATATGGCAGTGGTGTAGCTGAGAGGCAGGACTGGTGCTTTTCAGCAGCAGTGCAAATATATAAAGTAATCATACACCCATTTAAAATAAAAAACCTTAATGGTGAAAATGCACCTCAGCCACTAGAATTTTCTTGTGCGAAGAACATCATTAGTGTTGGTTACTTGTAGTCTGGATATATGGTAAAAGATACTCTCAGTTAACAGTGGATTGAAGGTGAAGGAAGTCTTTTGCAGTTAGTCATTTCTGAAAAGAGCAGTGCATCTGGGTATGCAAATGTGGTGCGTTGGTACAAGCATGAAGCAGAACTCGTTTGACTGACTTACCTCAGTACAGGAAATTGGTGTCCCAGCTTCTGATAAGACAGTTCAAATAATTTGTATCACGAACACTGCAACCAGAACGTTTGGTTTGATACAGCTTTGTGCGTTTTGGCCAACTGCATGTTGAAATCAATATTTTTATATCAGTATTGATTTGGGGGGCTATGAGTTTCAGTTTACTACTGGGAGATGCCATTCTAAAGCAAATGGTTTGGAAAAGTTTAATGGTTGTTATAGTTTGGAGTCGCTGGTGTCAGTAAACCAGAATAGGAAACAACTTCTGTTTTGTGACCAGCATATAAGGTCATGGATTATCAATTGGATCGCTCTCAGCTGATTCTGGAATGTAAACGTTAATACTTACATGCAATTTTTTTTTAATAGGACTTGATTAGAGACCAGGGTGTACGAGGAGAGGGAGGTAAGTAGTGTTTAAACTAGCTACTGTGCTATATTTAAATATACAATTCCTCTGTCCTTTCCCTTTGTTCTACTTCCTTCTATAAAACACGGGCACAAAGGAAAATATGACTAGAATTAAAGAATGAATTTGCGTTTGCTTGTCCATTAAATTAGTATTTGTCTGACAAAGATTTGAGTCATTTGCCAGTCATTCTGGGAGTGGGGGAGACAGAAGGAGAAAAAGTTTTGAAGTGTTATCTGGTCTTTTAGTATTAAAATCATCCTGCACTCTTTTTTTTCCCCTCTTTCACTCACACATACATACACACACGTACACAGTCACTCACTCACATGGCTGCATGCAGTTATGCTACAGCTTTCCATCTCTCTCTAAAATTTTTATGCCTATTGTTACCTTCCCACCTGTGGAAACTACAGTAGTTTCCTTTGAAGATTATCAACACAGTATGTGGAGCTTCCATATGAACTGCTGCATCCTAAAGCGGCATGATGTTCTCCAGTTCTTCTCCCCCTCTACCCCTGCTGAAGATGCTGCTTTGCTATACTGCATGCCTGTGCTAATCTTGGACCCAAGTTGTTAGGACCTTAAGTTAAAGCCAGCTCCCTTTATGTTTTCTTTGGTAAAACACAACCCTAATTGACAATTAAGCCAGAACTAGTGGCAGAAGATAGATTAATTTTTCTTCTCATGTTATGCACAAGCCCGGTTGTCAAGTCCTGAGAGGGCTTCTTATATGCTGTATGTATTCCTATGAATATACTACTAATAAAGGAACAGTAAGTTTTGTAGACCTGTGGAAGTTTTTCCAACTCCAGATTATTGACTCAGCCATCTACTACTTCTTGTAACTTGTTTCAGCCGTGAGAAAATTGAGTTACCTCGCTGCAGTCCACCCCGATCTCCAATGTTTTGTACCATGGGCTATCTCTTAACTGTTTCTCCCATCCATGACATGGGTAGGATGGGGCCTACCTACCACTTTGTGGTTGAGGGAGCTGTTTTTTCTTATGCCACTGATAGTACCCTTCTTTAAAAAGAAATTTCCTTTAGCATCCTGCCAGAAAATTAATTTCAAGTTTCCAGTTTTAGCTATTTTTGTGTGTCTCAATAGGTGTGGCTCTCCACAGTTTTGCCCATTTTGTCCAGCATTTAAGTGTTGTGGTATCATGTTGGTTTTAACTTTTGATCATAAACTGTCTGCTTGGCATCTGAAAACAATTGGCAATTCCCATTCTTGAAACGGTGTTTTTAGTAATTGACGTTTTTGTCCTTCGAAGTACAGAAGCAAACTATGAATAGGAGTCAAAGCATCCTAGTTATTTCCCATGACTTCTTTCATTTCTTCTATGTGTCTGTCTTTCTGTCTCTGCCTGCCCGTCTCTTTCTCTCTAACAGCCCCTTTGAACCAGCTGATGCGCTGTCTTCGGAAATACCAATCCCGGACTCCCAGTCCCCTCCTTCATTCTGTCCCCAGTGAAATAGTGTTTGATTTTGAGCCTGGCCCAGTGTTCAGAGGTAGTTGGGCTCTTCTTTCTTGTTTTCACCCAAACAAAATAAGTAAAACCACAGATGCTGTTTGTGCCTCACCCTCACACCGTGTGTATGTAAGTGTGTGAGTTTATCAAAACACCTCTGTTTTTTGCTTGGCCTGGCTGGAATGCTTTGAATGTGCTTTCCACACATATTCACTTTCACGTTTATATGCTTGGAGATGACCGTAAAGTCTGACTTAAATCTTCTAAAGCAAGGAATTTCATAGTTGAGGTATTTATATGGACCAAGACGTAATTTTTTCTAAACAGAGGTCCTTGGATTGCATTGCATTGCAGTGATTTTAAAGACATGTCCTTAACTTAGAATTTCCTTGACTGCTCAATTTAAGTCAGTTCAGTGCTTTAACACTTTTATGTATTTAATAATCTTTATTTTGAAAAGTAATCTAGGAAATCAAATGTGAATTACAAACATTTCCATTGATATCTTGTCAGGTCTTAAGCTTTTCACACAATGTGCCATGTCAACTTTCCACAAGAAATGTATTTTGAGGATTTTTTTTTTTTTTTGATACTACGCTGGGGCCCTGGATGGTTTAGACTATATCATTTTTATTTAGTACATATCCAGTGAAACAACGCTTGCTTGTGTCCTGAACAATGCAAAATAATACTTTTTCATTTTCACACGTCACTGACTCTTCAGTAATTCAGGCCTAAAGCTGTCAATGGATCTGTTTTATTGCACAAAATCCCCATTGGGATTTCATATGCTGGAAAAACCTACTGTTAAGTTATAGCATGAAATAAAAATATTTGTGTATCGATGTATACATGTAGAAATGAATAGTCAAGTGCATGTAGCGTAGTTTTCAAGTGCTACCACCTTGGCTGTTTCAAAGACTTTTGTTGCAGAACATATCAAGAACACTAAAATTGTTCCAGAAATTTTTGCATGGAGAGGGGTATAAAGAGGCAAGCAAACTGTGTACAGAATGGAATACATTAAATACAGCTTAGGAGTCCATGCTAATGACTTAAGTCCAGCATTATCTAAAGTGTTGCACGGTACTGACAACTTGGAAAACAGGCCCACTGGTGTTATTATGGACAGATTAACTGTAATGTCCTACCCTGTGCTATAACCAGATCCACTAAAGAGTAAATGTTCTGCTAGTGCTGCTATATCTCAGTATAAAAATTTAAATAGGAGATTCCAGTTACTTCTAAAGGAGACATAATGTGTTCCCTTTAATATCTTAAAGTACAATTTTAAGAGAAAATCTGTAAGCCAGTAGAATTTTGGAAAAAAGTTCTTATTCTGGGAACATCATACATTTAATTTTGATTTTTGTTTTCAGACATATAATGTAGTAAAAGCGCAATAATATAGTGACAGAAAACGAAATTGACAAAGAATAGGAACCAAAGGTTTCTCCATTAGGTCACTGGCTTCCATCTGCTTCTAAGTTTCATTAGGTACCCAGTATGCATTGTTGTTGCTTTAACGTGGGGAAAAGTTCAAGAATGCTGCATTCCATTTCTGATACTATTATGTGCTTCCACTTCTAAACATACGGATTTTAGCTCAATGAAGGAAAGCAGTGATGGATAGATACAATCTGGTACATTAGCACATAGAGGGGCTGAGCACAAGCAACGGTCACAAAAGCTACAAAATGGATTTTGAATTCAAGTTGGCATTAGGAGTCTTCTTTGCAGGTAGGAAAGGGGGTTGTGAAATAATAGGAGGAGGAGTACTGTCCTTCACCACTGATGTTAGAGAAAGTACTGGAATGTTGGAGGCCTTGTACAATGACATACATCATTTATCAGAGCAGGGTGAATTTAATTAACAGTTGACCCTATTTTTTGTCCTTTGGACTAAGAGAGGATCAGCATGAACTTGCTAATTAAGGTGTACTTTAAAAAGCAGTGTCTAGTTTAAGTGCTCTATTTGTAAAGAGGCACTGGGGCCCTGAAACACAGCTCTGTGATTTTTCTATGAAGTTTTGTTTAGACAGTATATATGTTAGAGATAAACTGTTCTAATTTGGATTTATTAGAATATGCCTCAAATAGGTAGATTGAGCACTTGTTCCTTTGTAAGCCTTTCTGCAGTCTAATATCTACTTTTAGATAAAAGCTCTTTACTAAAAGATAGCTTTAAAACAGCCAAATGGTTTTGAGGTGGCACTTGAAGACTCAGCTAGAAAACATGTTGGGTTTTTTTTTGTATTCTGTTTTGATTCCAAAATACAGTATCTCAGTTATTTATTGGGTCCCTAGAATGTTAGCTACAAGAAATCTGAGAGGCAGCTGCAGCTAACTAAATGCTACTACTTGTCAAAGAGGCTGGCAGAATTAAAAACAACAAAACATTTTTTTTTCTTCTTAAACATTATCCCTCTAATTCAAGAACAAAAGGCTGAGGACTAGATGATACACAGGAACGTTTGCTATAGACTCGTCTCTTTCTGTTACCTAAAACTTGAGCTAATCTAGTATTAATACAATATTCCTGAGTGTATGTTTGTTCCTTCTTAACATTTACATTGATGTTTGGAGATACTGCATCTTAAACAAAATTCTTGCACCTGACACCAGTACGTTCTTGTAAGCTGGCTTCTTAAAGATAAAAATTATCTGTTCTGAAATTTAGGTTCAACTGCAGGTTTGTCTGCAACACCTCCCGCATCTTTGCCTGGGTCACTTACCAATGTGAAAGCATTACAGAAATCACCGGGCCCCCAGCGGGAAAGGAAATCATCCTCATCCTCAGAAGACAGAAATAGAATGGTAAGAGGAGTTATTTCCACACGCAGTACACAGTGTGGTATACTCATAGCATAGGAATACCACGCATCCTCATAGTACAGAAATACCACACATCCGTGTTTTTCTCAGTTTTCTTTCATCATAGCCATGTGAATTATTTTCAAGATGATTATATAATGGTCAAGGATTTTAAACCAGTAAATAATGGAATATTGAAATCATGAGACTAGTATATAAATCATCAGCTGTGTTCACTTTTCCTCCATTGCACCCAAGTGTCTGGGTGCACTTTTATATTATAATGCCAGTTTCCCTTCAAAGATTATCTTAATCTTTTTCTCACCATGTTTCACGAACAGTGGAGTTCTCTAGTGAGTCAAATTTAACAATGGATAAAATGACTGCATTCTTTTAATTCAGAGTTCAACCTTATGACTGAGTAAGAATTGAAAAATTCATAAATGAGACCTTCCCTTTGGGAGGAAATTCTCCATTTCTTTACTGGTTTTAATTCTGCCCGAAATCTGTGGCAAGTATTTCCTGTCAGGAAATTACTTGTATACAATTATGCTGAGGTTTTGAATATACCTAATTTGAAATGTCGCTTGCAGTATTTGGAGAAAAAATATTTTAATTGCATGAAGTTTTGATACCGAATCTTTAATAAAGGACGTAGTTTAACAAGCATTAATTGTTGCTTTTTCTTCTTTTTTTCTTTTTATTATTTGTGTAAATATGTAAAGAAAACCCTTGGTCGACGAGATTCAAGTGATGATTGGGAAATACCAGATGGGCAGATCACAGTTGGACAAAGGATAGGATCTGGATCATTTGGAACAGTCTACAAAGGAAAGTGGCATGGTACGTGGCTCCCAGTGCAAACAGTTGCTTTTAAGCAAGTGGCATTGCCTGCTGGGGGCCACTCAGCTGAAAAGCAGCTCTACAGAAGAAGATCTGTAGGTCCTCGTGGATGCCATCTTGAACATGATTAAGCAACCTGGCCTTGTCTCAAAGAAGGTTAATGGTATCTTGGGCTGCATTATAGACAAAGCATTACCAGAAGGGGGAGGGAGGTGATCCTTCCCCTCTACCTCATTACTGGTGAGACTGCACCTGGAGTGGCAGTTCCAGTTCTCCCCATTACAAGAGAGATGTGGACATATACTGGAGAGACTCCAGCAAAGGCCCTCTGCTATGAAGAAAGGCTGAGAGCTGAGACTCTTAAGCCGGGAGAAGAGAAGACTCATTTAATATATATATTAAAATGCCTGAAGTAAGGCTAAAAGGAGGATGGACTCAGGCTCTTTTCAGTGGTGCCCAGTGACTGGGTCAGAAGCAGTGGCTGCCAACTCAAACAAAAGAGGCTCTGAGCATGAGGAAACACTTCATTGCAGCGAGGGCAACCAAGCACTGCCACAGGTTGCCCAGAGAGTTTGTGGAGACTCCCTCTTTGGATATGCTCAAAAGGATTCTGGGCATTGCCCTGTGTGTGCAGCTATAGGTGGTGCCTGCTTGAGCAGCAGGGCCGGGTCACATAGCCCCAAGAGGTCCCAACAAACCTCAACCATTCTGTGACCTATGAATGCTATTTAAATCTAAGAATCATGGGTTAAATAAGGTACATTAGAGCTTAATCAGTGCAGAAACTTGACTCCTATGTGTTCTTCAGAAGTAATTATTAGGGTAAAGATGAAACATAATTACTAGAAAGGCTGAAGTAGCCACCTCACTATGCCAGAATCTCAAATGTATGCATATACAGAAAGTTTAGATGTGGCTAGAATTTCTCAGAGTAAAGTAAGAATAATACTTATACATGTTTACAGAATATATACTTATTTTAATATAGCAGTGGTTTATTTCACTAAAGCTAGAAAACAGAGTCTAAATATTTCTGATTTTCTATATAGCATTTTCTCAATTGAGGAATCTGTGTCAATGATACTTACTAAAGATTGCTATTTTGAAGGTGACGTGGCAGTGAAAATGTTGAATGTTACAGCACCCACACCTCAACAGTTACAGGCTTTCAAAAATGAAGTAGGAGTGCTCAGGTAAGAATATTTGTGGTATGAAATAATCTGTGTAGATTTATGTTTCTGTAATGATTGAGTTTCACACTTCCATGACATCACAGTGGTCTTATTTCTTAATTATGATAATTTGGGTAGAAAATACAACTTACTATTTTAAAACATTTGTTTATTATCCACTGCTTTGTATCCATGTGTGTTTGTCTGTAGACTGATGTTACGGAGTATATGGTATATCCAAGCACTCAAGACAAGTCTGTGTTTTACTGTTGTAGTACCCACAGGACAGTCAAACTTACGCATGAACTTTCGGACCTTTGCTCTCTTCCAAGTTTTGAGATTGAAGTAGAGTATAACTGATTGTTCTTTTCCAGCCATAGCTCTGCCCATGTTTTCTGTTGTTTCGTAGCAGCATTGACTCATCCTTGATTTTTTTTTTTTTTTTTTAATGTCTATTTCATAGTCACTTCTTGATTTTATTTTCTCTTGTTTAGTGCTTGTAATTTCTTAGGTAAAGTATTTTTCTTGCATTCAGTTCTGAACAGAGAATCTATCAATGCTGTATCATATTTATTGGAGAAGAGCATTAGCATCCAATTACAATCTTGAGCATAATTTTAAGAAGCAAAATAGAAAGGAGTTTTTTGGCTTTGGTAAATTCACGTGTTGAGATAGATGCCTGTCCTGGAGAAGGGTCCACAGTAAAAATGCATGGTGTAGCTCTTAAGTCCATAGCTGTGGTAACAGAAGCTTGCAGGAGTATGCTGCCTTGAAGAGGTGTGCATATTTTTGGTCTCGTACCTGAAGTCTGGCCTTTGAAGTCCGTGGTGCTATCCTTTGACCCAGCCAAGCCATTTATATTTGTCAGTGCATTTTCCATTGTGCTTCATCAGTACTTTCTTAGCTTTGGGGTAAAATTTGTAAGAAAGCACTGATTTTTGTTCACTCAGCAGTTAGTCTCAGCATCACTTGACAAATCCTTGCACCAGAAAAAGGCCCGGTCACATAGGTTAGAACTGTCGTAGCCTGCATTGCTAGGGGACAAACAAGTTTGCATGGCAGGCTCCTCTGTTAGTTTTTTAATATAAGAAAATATGGAACGCTTTGTCATCAGCTGCACAGCATGCAGACTTAAAAAGCTGCCACATGTTTTAAGCTTGGTCTGTCAGGTTTCATCAGGCAGTGAGCAAACTGCTTGCAGTACTGCGCTGTGTTGGAAGAAGACTGTCTTTTTCCTCAGCCTCTGGAAAAGCTGGCTAAGACTGCAGAGATCACTTTTTTTGTGATCTCTAGTTGGTGTGTTTGAAGGGATCTAGTTCTTCTTGATATCCATTTGGTGACACTAAGAATGTGATTGGCTTTTCCTGGAACAGGATCAGGATAAACTTTTGCATTTTAGAATATATCACTAGACTGTTTCAGGCCTTGAATCTACTGGGATATCTGCTGAGATCATCTTCTTAGGACTCTCTTTTAAGAAGTTTTGATGACTGGAGTTGCTGCTTCTTTGAAAGAGGTTTGATTTAATCTGGCCAAATCTCTGGTGAACTTAAGTCTATTCTAGTACTGTTTAGAAACAACTTTATTGAGAATATCTTGACTTCAGTGAGATACAGTTTTTACATCTATCTCCATCCTTATTTGTATGCTGGCTCCACACAGAGAGTAAAATGTTGTTATCAAACAAAGTACTAATTAAAAATGAAGTCTTGCCAAAAAGGCGTGTTGTTGGTGTCTGTGAGTCTGAAATTTCATTTTGAATGTCTTCCTGATGGGCAGCAACATCTCATAGCTGAACTAGTGTTACATATGCTGAGACCTGCCTTCAAGCAGTCACTGTCACTTGTAGACTTAGTGGTGTTGGCATCTTCTGAACATTTCTGTTCTAAGCTGCTTTCAAAATCAAGAAGAAGCAGTGCTTGCTCCAAAATAGCTATTCCATGTTGATAGAGTAAAGACTCATTCATTGGGCTCAATAGAAACAGATTATCCTAAGGAGATAAGACTGACCAAGAACTTCAATTTGGAAAGATGTGTTTAGTTCTGTCTGGTTCTTGTTGTTTGTTTGCTTTTCATCAATTTCCTCCTGAGTTTTATATATATGACATATATATATGTGATTTTATTTTTTTTCAACAGGAAAACACGGCATGTGAATATCCTACTTTTTATGGGTTATTCAACAAAACCTCAGTTGGCTATTGTTACACAGTGGTGTGAGGGGTCCAGCTTATATCACCATCTGCACATAATTGAGACCAAATTTGAAATGATCAAACTAATTGATATTGCACGACAGACTGCACAAGGCATGGAGTAAGTATCGTATGATTTGTTTGCAGGTGATTGTTGGGGCCCTGTCCACATACTTCCTTCATTCTAGGCTGTCTGCTCAGTCTACAAGCCCAGAATCTTGCATTAATCAAAGTATTTGGTGAAGTGTTTAGATCAGTGGAATAGAGTTTTTGTGCTCTTTTTTCTGGAACATAGAGAAATACGTGGCATCAAGTAATATGGTCTCTGAAAACAAAATGAAAGTTTAACCACGCTGCGATTATCTTTAATCTTGTGAGCAAAGATTTCTGCCCAAGTCTTTATGGCCTTCACAGTGCAGTCTTAGGATAGGAGATAAGACCCAGTTTAAAAAGAAACACCGAGTGAATGAAAGGGTAGAATGAAACACAAAATGAGGCTCTTCCAGCAGGTGTGTGCCACTGATTGATTAAACAGAGCCATGGGAGACTGGCTGCCTAATTTAGACTTTGTCTATGCTGTGAGACAGGTGCTCTTATGCTGGAACTCTGCATGTATTTATTTGACATGCAGTTTGGGGAATCTCTTTCCCAGTCCTGTGCTAAGGAGCAGTCAGCTTCTTTCATGGGAGACAGAGGCTGGGAAGCACTTATAGGTGCCACAATTTGGAAATAACTTGCCTGAGGTTGAGACTATCCCACAAAGTATCATGTCAGTCACCTTCAAGGCTAGGAAGCAGAGCCTTCAACATGTCAAAAACTAGTGAAATTCTTTTGGTTTGATTCTGAATATTGACTTAATCAACTGAAAATCAGAAATTGGTGTGTAATTTGTTTCATTCTTCAGTAGGACCAGGGTTAAGTTGGAAATCTAAGCTTTATTTTGTTTTTATTTTCTCCCGTGAGTGTTGCAGGAACTGATGTGGGTACTGAAGCTTTCATGCCAAAAGTGTGCAGTTTGAATATCTGCAGAATTTGTTTCAGTAACACAATAAACTTTGAGCTGTTGATTAGTGGAATGACATCTAACGCACCCAATCTGTCATGTTCCTTTTCAGTTACTTGCACGCCAAGTCGATCATCCACAGAGACCTCAAGAGTAATAGTATCCTTTTTCAGAGGTGTGATTGTCGAACCAGCATTCCTGGCTGTTTTTTTTTCCTGCCAGAAATGTTCTTATTGAAGAGAACAGCTCTTTATGCTTGATTATTTGTTGAGTTGAAATTTGGTGTAATATGATTATTAGAAAAGTAATGCTTACATTAATCTGTTAAAAAGAACATAATTCCTGTAGAAAGAATACATTTAATATAGTGGGCTGTGGGTTTTGGAATGTAACATGATTAATCTTTTCATTTTACTTTTAAATATTCTTTTCTTTTGTAAAAACATATTTTGTTGTCTGTACATTGTTTTGTTTGACCACTAATGTATAGCAGAATTTCTTGATTTTCTTCTGCAGCATGCCAATAAACTATTGTAAGCAAGATACTGAAAGCAATTTCAAACTTCTGTTGGGAGCTATTGCATGTTTACAATGCCTTTGCCTGCTGAACATCTGACAAATACTACTCTTAATTGCCAACATAGCTTATACAACTAGCTGGCTCAGCTCGTGCATGCCTGATGCCAGCAGGCACTGGTAACCTGCTGAACCCCATTTGTGCTGGTGATTGGGGGCTGCAATTATTCCTCATGAACAGGTAGTTCCCAGTAAGTGTGAGTCACAGACTTGTATTGACTTAAGTCCCTGTATGCTGCTGTGATTCCAAGAAAGTAGCAAGGTTTGTTGTAGTCTCAGAAAGATTTTTTACATTGTTGATTTCTGCCTGTGATGAAAGATTTCACCAGTTTGACTAGTGGAGTATTTGCAGCGTCTAGTATTCGAGCACTTGGCATTTGAAGTCATCTGGGACGTAGTTTGTTCAACACCAGCCCAGTCATTACGTGTATAACCCTGAACTACCATAATCCATTACCCCAACTGCTTAGAGCCTGTACCATATGATAACTGTATTTAATGGTGATGAATGGTTAAAACTGTTGCAGTTGAAAGTGCACATTTGTAGCCGTTAATTGTTTCTTGTAGGACAGGACCAGTGTGGTTTGTTTGCTTTCCCTTAACATTTATCCCTTAGATATTTTTCTTCATGAAGACCTCACAGTAAAAATAGGTGACTTTGGTCTGGCTACAGTGAAATCACGATGGAGTGGATCTCATCAATTTGAACAGTTATCTGGATCGATTCTGTGGATGGTAAGTAAAGGGGAAGCGGTATATCCATTGTAACTGATCTCTTTGCCTTTGGCCAAGCTTTATAAGACTATCCTTTCCGTGCAAGGACACATGCAAGCCATCTGAGGCTGGAAAGACCAAAAATACGTGGTACTAATTAAGTTCTTGTCAATTTTTCTTAAACTATGTGTTTTCCAGTACTCAGCAAAAAAAACTTCAGTGTCTACTTTCATTATTCTGAGGGCTGAACTGACAGGACAGTTTTGTGTAAGGAAAGAGGGCACAATCAATCCAGGGCTGAGGAAGATGTTCTGTCATAGTGCAATAAGGGGATCACCAAATTAAAAAGAACCAGTGGACTCGTGTCAGCAGACACTTTTGTAGAGCCCAGTAATGTGGACTCTAATACAGAAACCCAGCCATGAGAGGGAGGTCTTAAATCTGTCATACTCTGGAAATGTCCATATCATGTGCCCGCAATGCAAGGTACAGTCTGACGTGGTGAAATAAAACCTAATTGTTTCCTTTTATGATACAGGCACCAGAAGTGATCCGGATGCAAGACAAAAACCCATACAGCTTTCAGTCAGATGTGTATGCGTTTGGGATTGTGCTTTATGAACTGATGACGGGGCAGTTACCATACTCAAACATCAACAACAGGGACCAGGTAAAGAGAGCATGGGCTTGGGAAGGGACTGCCTTTAGTCAGCAGTGGCCTGAACCAGACTGATGTGGCTCTGTGAAGTGACTGTTCTGTTGTTTTGTGTATTTCATTTATTGGTTGACTCTGATGTTCTGAGATGACGTTTCTACATTATTATTTCTTTTTAGATCTGCCTCAGCCACACAGCACCGATTTACGCACTTTTCTTGTGTTGGTTTTTTTTTTTTCTTCTTTTTTACTTCAAGTATAGATTCTCAGATTCTAAGCTGGTTGCCAGGATACTTATTAGGTAGAAAGCAGGTTACTTAATAGTAGTTTAGAATAGTTCTGCAAAGGAGAAATAATTCTCCCTATGTTCAGTTCTTCCTTTCTTTTTTTGCCTCCTGAATTGCACTGAATAATAGTTGAGGAACGGGACTGACAAAATGGATTTAACTGAATGCTTTATATTTATTTCAATCTTGAGAAATGCATGCACCAATTGACTTTCAGGGTATCAACATTTCTCAAAGACTCCTTGATGAAGCATGTGACTTTCCAGAGTGTGAATCCTGTAAGAAGATTACTTAATTGTGAACAAATCTTCTATAAGTTTAATGATACTCCACACTTATTACATGTTTCAGTAGGCTAGATGTGTTTGCGAAGGCTTGTCTGATTTATTATTTCTCTGTCTAATCTGAAAATAAGATCTATGCATCAAGACCTTTGGTGTAAACTATTCCTTAGCTGCCTAGTGATGTATTTCTGTTTTATGTGTCCACATCCCTTGTTTTTTCACTGTCAGTACTTGAGAATTGCAACCATAGCAACATTCATGTGTGAATGCCATTTTATAAGGCTGCTTCCATATTTGCCAGAACACTTCATTCCAATTCATCAGATTTGGAGCGACTCCCTTTTTTCTTTTCTCTTCTTCTTTTTTCTTTTTCTTTTTTTTTTTTTTTTTCCCTTTTAAACAAAGGGAAGCATTGAGATTCCTGGCTTACATGGTTGTAACCTTCTAGAAGCAATTTTCATTTTACCTTTTGAGTCATGAACCCAATGATATGGGTACCTGCAGTTAAGAGTTAAGTACTGCCGTATGACAATGATTCTGACTGCAACAAGGTAAGGGATGAAGTAGAAAAATCTTCACTATTAAAGTTTGCTCTGATACTTGGGAATTCCTGAAGAAACCATATGGGAGATCTGTTCTCTCTTAATGTAAACACAGATGCATCTGAATCAGAAAGTTGAAAAAGAACTATAGTAGTGTTAGTATCAACAGCATATATAGCTTGCTTGAGATGTGTTTTTTGGTGGTGTTTTGTTTTTTTTGCCAGTGTCAAGGTATGAAATAGTTATACTTTGTTAAAAATAAGGCATAATACACCTGCTGGCTCTGTCTCACTGTTCAGAAAAGGTAGTGATTATCTCATGCAGCATGAATGGATCTTTGAGAAGCTGGTTTGAAAGGGCTTTTTAGTGTCAGCATGACTGTAGCACTCAAACTGCATTAGTTTTTGCCTTGGCTTGACATGGCGATGTTTGGTGAGTTCTTAATGTGTCCAAAAGAACATGAACCAAATTTGTTTTCCTGCTTGCTATTAATTTACTTCATTCTATGCTTAAATTTTATCCTTAAGTGAAATGTAAGTCTTCTGCATTAGTTACTGTAAAAAATGTAAAGCCTGTGTCTACCTGAAATGTCAAATAGGCCAGTAATACTTAGTTTTTGCAGAGGAGTGGCAGCGTATTTGAGGGGGAGGGAGGAGGTTAAGGAGGGGTGAGAAGTTGGTCATGATTAATAAGCTTTCATGATGGAAAAGCAAATGAAGGAATTTATTCGCAGAAGGTTGGGGCTTTTTATTTTTTAATATCTTAAATCCATGAGTTTCTTAAAATACCTTTCAGCATGAACTTGCAGTTTACTTTCCTACAATCACAAAACCATAGAAAGGCTTAGGTTGGAAGGGACCTTAAAGGCTGCCCAGCCCCAACCCCCTGCCATGGGCAGGGCTGCCACCCACCAGCTCTGGCTGCCTAGGGCCTCATCCAACCCGGCCCTGAGCACCTCTGAGGATGGAGTGTTCAATGAATAAAAGACTATTTATTTTTAGGAACTGTATACCAACCACAGTTGCTTATTCTTGTTTTATAACAGTTTTTGACACCAAAGAACAGTTCTTTTTATGGTTATTGCTATAAATAGTAACCATTTAATAGCATTGATGTTCCTTATCAATCTCCCATAGAAGAGAAGGAGGAGGAGAAGTCTAATTTCTTCTCTGTGCTGAGTAGGTTGGCTCGAACAAACTTGGCCATTTCAGTTTCAGGTCCTGTTCCCTGGGAGCAGAAAATTTGTTGGAAATTATTAGTCTAGCAAAAAACGTTTATCTTTTTTTTGTTGTTGTTCTTACTGTTTACTTAATGAGCTTTTCTTCTGTCTTCATCTTTTTTCTTCTCAAAAATAAAGATAATTTTTATGGTGGGACGAGGATATCTATCTCCAGACCTCAGTAAAGTAAGAAGTAACTGTCCAAAAGCTATGAAGAGACTAATGGCAGAATGCTTGAAAAAGAAAAGAGATGAGAGACCTCTTTTTCCACAGGTGAGGAATATTTATCCTTTCTCAGTAGCCTTTACAGTCTGAGTATGAAAAGTGAAGATCACTTAGGATTTCACCGATTAGTGCAGGATTTTTTTTTTTAGTGCTACATAAGATTTCATAAACGTCCTAGTTAGTTAGAGCTGTTTAATTAGAAATGTTCATTTACAGTCCAAAAAGCAGGTATTAATATGACTTACATTTAGCATTTATTTGTTGGAGGAAATTTCCTGGGAAATAGTGAAATTAATGATTGCAGTTAGACACATGAGTTAGAACTTGTTCTCTGAAATCTGTATGCTCCTTTCCTTCATGTCTCCTAGGCTTTATGAGAGGTGGCTGATATTTTTGTGATAGAACTTTATTTATTGTGCCTGCTGAGGAATTAAAAGCTTGGAACTGAAGGACCTTATTTTGTTGTGAATGTGCCAAAGCACTTTAAAAAGAAAATTGAGCTCCACCTACTGGCTTTTTGGTGAATGGTATTAGGGAGACAGCTTCCAAAGCTGTTAATTTGCAGCGATGAGTGTGGATACTAGCATGTGAAGAAGGAGGCACATAAAGGGTAATGTGTTCCTAATGCTTAAAGAGGAAAATCAGAATGTCCTTTTAGAGGAGAAAGAGGCAGTTTCTTCACAAAATGTCCTTTTCAGCTTACGAGAATACAAACATCAGAGTGAAATGCACTCATCTATTTTTTGAAGTTTCTATTTAAATTTATGGGTTTTTTTTTTTTCTTTTTTTCATTAGTTGATGTACTGCCTTTGGTTTTAAGGTATTATAGCAACTTGAAAACCATGGATTCAACTACTTGTTTTCTGTTTGTTTTAGATTCTTGCCTCCATTGAGCTTCTGGCCCGGTCGTTGCCAAAAATTCACCGCAGTGCATCTGAGCCGTCACTAAACCGGGCTGGTTTCCAGACCGAGGATTTTAGTCTGTATGCTTGTGCTTCTCCAAAAACACCCATCCAAGCAGGGGGATACGGTGGGTTTCCAGTACACTGAAAAGAAATGTGAAAGAATGTGCCTGTTTGCTCATGTGCTGGTGTGTTCCTGCGTGTGCAACGCATATGTACGTTCTCAGCTCCTACCAGCGACTTTTTAAGGTTTACTGAGGGAATGAAGACTCATTTCCTTACATGGGGCATTGAATGTCCAAGGCACGTGTCTGTGCTGGTAAGGAATGTCTTGGGAACAGCTGGCACGAGAAGAATTAGAAGGTCACTTAGAAGAGAAATGGGGGAAGTCACTTCAAAATAAGCAAAACTCTTCTAAAGATCATTGGCTGTCATTTTTTCCTGGTTTATTGATTAGAATTAGTTACTTAAGAGTATATTTATTGTTAATCTACTCAAAAAAACACATTTTTTTTTTCCCATTGAGGTCATTATTTATGAGCATAAGGCTTTAGATCTTTTGTTAATAAAGCTACTCATATGTGGGAAACAGTTGGAGAACTGAACTTAGCTACAAGGCTAAGTGCAGTTTAAACTTCTTGCTGTTAGCAGAATTGAGGAGAAGCACATAGCCTCCAAAGAAAGACCTTGGTGATGTGTAACTCTTCTGAAAGTTTTTAAAATAGAGCTGTGTAGAGAATATCTCTTCTTGTAGAGGAGTGGTGGCTTGGTTTTTTTTGTTGTTTTTGTTTTTTTTTTTTTGGAGGGGGTTTTTTGTTTTGGGTTTTTTTTGTTTTAGTTTTTATTTTTTCCTTAATGCTCTGACTTGTCTTAGTTTAGACCATCTCAAAGTGTTCTATTACGTGCAACACAGAAGAAATTCTGAATCTCTGCATTTGCTGAGCTGCAAGAGTATTACTGGCAATGGCCCCTCTGCCTTTCAATTAGCAAGAACTTCACTTTTGAAGTTAGAAAGAAAAAAAAAATCAAGTCTGGAGCATAACCAAATACTTCAAGAGAAAAAAGCTATGAACCCCCATAGCAGGAGAAGAAAACTTGAAAATTAGTTGTTTTTGTGGAAATCAGTATTATACCATAAATTCTGCTAGGCTGAAATTTTTTAATCCTGTTTATAATACTACGGCACATACTTCAGTTCAGTGACTGTTTTTTTTTCACTTCCATAGAAAGCTGCTAGTTTGACTAGAATTGAATCAGTTAGACTAGATATCTAACTGAAAAAGCCAGAAACCTTATCAAGATCCTGTCAGCTCACTTGATTTTATTTTTCTCTGGACCATTCCTGTGGAACAGGTGAATCAGAGTACTGGTTCAGGTTACATCAGTTTTGATGTCAGATACAAAAACGAGCAGTAATGTTATTAATGACTGTGTTCTTGCATATTTTGAAATTAATTATGTGGTTTTGTTTGTTTAAAACTGTTAAGCTGTTCATCTTTACTGATTCTTCTGCATCAGAAACAAGCTATTGCTGCTCGTGTTAGGACTTAAATGGCCAGAAATGTTCTTAATAGCTTCTGAATTTTGTACTTACAGGGGAAGCTTGCATGTTGCTAGCAATATGTTTTTGAAATGGATCAAGAAATTCCACAAAGGTTTTCCTTTCTGCTTCTTTCTGGAAACTGAGCCTTTTAAAATGGGAGAATTAAAGGGCTTACAGCAATGTAAGCAGTCTGTACGCTTTCTGACCATGTTCTGATGGTCTTCTTGGCTTCTACAGTTGGAACAGTTTTGGAACTAACTTTTCTCTTTATGTTAGCCAAGAAAATTCGTCTGTTGAAATCTGTCTCTTACGGAAATAGTTCTTAAGGATGCAAGTTGTTGCTGTTTTGTTTCCCAGCTTTCTGGTGACTTTGACAGGCCTATCTTAAAATGAAAACAGGATCTTTTTTATTTTTTATTTTGTCTTCTCACTATTTTTATATATGTATTAGACAATCCAGAGGAATGCTTCTCCCTCTTTGGGATGTACTGTTTAGTTTAGGCCGCAATGCTTATGTTAGTAAATAGCAAGAGGAGAGCTGCTGCATCTTCTGCAAAATCTAGAAATGCGGCATCTCATTTCACCACTCTGGGAGTAATAAGAAGGTGCAATGCTACCCTGCCCAGTCTGAATCTTTTTGTGTATGCCAGCTCAATTCCAGCAAATTATTCCTTGGGGTAGACTTAGTTGTTAAAAACAGTTCTTCATTGCTGTAGGAACTATAATTTATGTCATCTTTGGACATGTTTTGTCCAGTTTTCTTCCGTGTCATCACTGCATCAGAATTCTTCCTTGTGTCACTTGCTCTTGTTAGACATCAAGGATGCTTTGGGATCCATGATGATAACATAACCTTAGCTTCTTACTAAGCATTTTTTGAAGCCCCAAAAAAGTCTGGTTTTGTTGATCGTTATCTTTATCTGAAATACAGGCATTTAACTTACGTAGTTTATGATTCTTGCTTCAGTGAAATCCTCAGACATATATAGCATAGAAATGTCTAAATACACCTGTGGATTTTGGTCATTGTTCTCAGAGTTGCAACTCAGTTCAGTTATGTTGTTTAGAAACAGATACTTATTTCAGGTCCTGAAAACAGGTCTGTATTAAACCAGACTTGCTTGAATGGGTAACTTGTTCTGTGTGGGATCCCTTTCTTCTTCACACTGGAGTACTGAAACAAAATCTGCCTTGGTACTGTCTAGATGGACCAGATCCTCTTAAATGCTGCTGCGTTTAAGCAGCACCTTTGTTTCATATGCACTTCCATGTCAGACTCTGTTGTGTCAGAGTGCCCCTCTGCTGCCATCTGTCACATGGCAACAACGTGTAATGCAGTATTGGTGGGAAGGTTCAATCTCTACTGCTGTATCACCAACATAAAATTGGAGTCATTGCTTCTGAAGCAGCCCTTAAAGATAGATATGGCCATCTACATTCCTGATCTAGAGAAAGCTGTTACTGGTACCCGCATTTTATATATGAACATGTTACCTATTTGGTCACATATCAATTTGAGAGCAGGTTAACACCTCAGTTTTGAAAGGAGAGATTAGTTTAGCATTAGCTTGTCTCAAAATCTTTTGCTAAGCCTTTATTTAAATGGAAGAAAATTCTGAAAATCAACTTTCAGAGGTACTGTCCTGTCTCAGATACTTCCTCGCTTCTCCTGTTTTTCCACTGCCCTTTACTAATTAATGGTTCATCTTTTATCTTCTGAAATCCCTGTACAACTATCAAAAGCTGAATTATTGCCAGAAATGGGCAGAAGGACAAGATGAGTAATGAGGGAACAATCTCTTGTTTATAAATTGATCTTTCATCAGCAGTTTAGGAGAGCAGACTGAGAAAATAAGTAGAGCATGTTTTGAAAGTGTAGCTAAGCATGAACGTCCTTCTTAAGTATTAGCCTTACACGCGATACTCGATGACTTTTTTGTCCTCTTAAAAGAAGAGAAGGATGGAAGTACAAAAATTGAGGCACTACTAGAAGATACTGTGAAGAAAATTAGGCAAATGGTGAAATGTGCCAAAGAGAAGGAAGCAAATATACCAAATAGTATTTTAGAGCAAGGGTTTTATGTTTTGATAGAACGGTGTGTTTTTTTTTTTAATTTAAAACAAAGCGAAACAGGAGGAGGAAGTGGATTAGACTCATCATGAAGGTGTTTTGTCTTTTTTTTCAATGTTATAATTATCACCACAGACTATTAGGACTCTCAGAGCTTGACATTCACCACGGCGCTCTTACTTCAGACCTTGGTTGCACTCCCTTTTCATGTCCTGTGAGACACAGGGTCCTCTTATCTCTCCATACTTACTTTCTCTTGCTTATATCTGCTATAACAGCTTTTCCTGCCAGGCCCATAGATTCTGTTTCTTCCCCCTCCACGTACAGGCTGCTGATCATTTTCTTGATTCCCTTCTTTACGACATAAAACATTCCTTGGAATTAATGCTGCCTCTCTAAGATTGTGTCTGTAGGGATGTTTCCAGTTTGTTTCCAGTATTCAAAATGAAACTCTTGAGAAAAATGAAAACAATTGTTCTTGAAAAATGATGGAAGGACGTCAAGATAGAGAGCAGTTGTTTGGTTGTGAAAGTGTTGGCACACTTCTGTTGGGTCTCTTCTGTCTGTTTCACTCCTTTACTGTTAGATCTCTGAGGAGTTCTGTCAAGAAAGGGACGTAAACTAACTTAAAATTTATGTGGAACCCAGCAAGAGGAAGTGATGTGTGCATTTCTTTTCAATTCCACTGTAGAGTCCTTTCGTTAAGCATCTTTGCACACCTTGTAGAATGCAATTTCTGTGGGTGGCAGGGAAATTTTTTGGCTAAAGCATAGGATTAAGGAGATTACTATCTTAGTTTGAACTTCTGTTCAAGATTCTGGTAACTTCTTAAGAACCTCGGACAGCAATTTTACTCTGTGCTGTGTTCCTTCACCTCTGAATTGTGACTACTAATCTAGTTCAGTAGCGTGCTGAGCCTAAAACTGCAGAGTTCCATGGGATGATTGCACGTGAAAGAAATGTGTAGAATTACAGCTTATTCAGTAGTTCTGAAGTGAGCACAGGATTGTTTTATTTCTTGTGCTCCCTGTTTGTTAGTGAGGCCTGATTTCTGCTCTCAGAGTAAGTAGACACTCTCACCAGTCTTCATTTTCGCACAGCAGTTTGCTGTGTTGGTCTGTATACCAGCTTTTAGCATCCTTTAGTATGAGTTTAATTTTAAGGCACTTTACTATACATAGTCTTTAAAGGTTAATGGGTGTGTCAAACAGTTTTTTGCTACTAAACCAGCTTTATAACAGGATAGAAAGTAATTTGCAGTCTGATGCATTTATTGCAATTGTTGCTTCTCAGGAGGATATGTGCAATAGGGAGTTGAAAGTGAAATTTAATTGACATATTTTACTTTTAAATGCATGATGAAGTAGTCTCTGCTTGATCTTACTGCCTCTGTCCTGGGAAGAATGGGTATAGCTTGCTTTCAGGAAATTCTTTTTCAGTAAAGTATGTTGGGTCTGTATTCAATGTTCTTTCACTATGTTTCTTTTATGCTTTAATTTTAACAGTTTGCATTT